GCTGTGGCTCAAGTGGTAGAGTGCTAGCCTTGAGCTGAAGAGCTGAGGGACAGTGCCCAGGCCCAGAGTTCAGGCCCCATGACTGGACCCTCCCCCCCCCCAAAAAAAAAATAAAGAATACAGAGTCATCAGATAAAAGAAGAAAACAATTTAAGAAAAAAGTCCTTTGTTTCCATATCTTTGGAGTTTGTTTTGGTATGTGTATTTTATATGCATATGAAGAGGTGCTTGGGTATTATACCTTTGTGATTTTCTCCTAAGACTATCCTCTTTTGGTCTTTCTGTATATGACTATCTAGGATGTTGTGTGTTTTATTATGTCCCGTTGTGTTTTAGATCTAACTTCCACATATCAGGGAGAAACTGTGCTGTTTGTCTCTCTGATATTGACTTATCTCACTTAACATGATTTCTTCTAGTACCATCCATTTTCCTGCAAATGACATTATTTTATTTCTAATGGCTATGTAAAACATAGGTACCACATTTTTTGGATCCATTCATCTATTGTGGGACATCTGGGTTGTTTCTATATCTTGGTGTTTGTGAATAGTACAGCAGTGAACATGGTTGTGCAGATGTCCTTATCATATCCTGGTTTATGATGCTCAGGTAGATGCCTAGGAGTCGTATGACTGGGTCAGAGGGAAGGTTTATGTTTAGTTTTTTGAGGAGCCGCCAGACTGCTTTCAAGAGTGGTTGTACTAGTTTACATTCCCACCAGCAATTCAGTAGGGTTCCTTTTTCCCCCATCCCTGCCAGCATTTGTTGTTGGCAGAATTCAAAATGTTGGCCATTCTAACTGGGGTAAGATTGTATTTCATGGTTCCTTTGTGGCCAGGGATGATGAACATTTCCTCATGTGTTTCTTTGCCATTCTTACCTCTTCTGAGAAGTCTCTTTATCTCCCTTGCCCATTTAATACTTGGTGTATTAAGTTTGGGAGGGGTTAGTTTCTTGAGCTCCTTGTATATATTGGATATTAGGTCTTTGTCTGATGTATTGCTGGTAAAGACCTTTTCCCAATTAGTTTGCTGTCTTTCTAGTTTGGTCACTGTGTCCTTAGCTGTGTAGAAACTTCTTATTCTAATATAGTCCCACTTGTTGCGTCTCTCTCCTATCTTTTGTGCTCCTGGGACTCTATTCAGAAAGTTTCTGCCTACACTTAAGTTCTGATGTCTCTCTTCTCCCTTGCAGTTGTTTTGGGTCTGATGTTGAGGTTTTTGATCTACTTTGAGTTGATGGTACATGGTGACAAGCAGGGATCCACTTGAAGTTTTCTGCATATGGTGGCCCAGTTTTCCCAATAGCGATTGTTGAAGAGACTTTTTTCCACTGGGTTGTGCCATCTTATTGTCAGAGATTCTCATCCAGGTGTATCCCTTACTCATTCCTCTTTTTTTCCTGTTCATATGTGTGCCCTCCACATGGATTGAATTGAACCAAAGCAGTGGTGCCACTGCACTGCTGCGGCTTTTCATTTTCGTACAGCACTCATTTGTTTCCATTGTTTCTTCAGGAAAATTCTATAGCTTAGGTTAAACTGGGTACAGTAGTTGGGAGAATAAATGAAACAGTGGGACTTTAAAAACATAAGTTCTGGGCACTGGTGGCTCACACCTATAATCCTAGCTACTCAGGAGGCTGAGATCTGAGGATCGCAGTTCAAAGCCAGCCAAGGCAGAAAAGTTCCCATGAGGCTCTTATCTCCAGTTAACCACTCAAAAACCAGATGTGAAGCTATGGCTAGTCTTGAGCAAAAAGATGCTAAGGGACAGTGCTCAGGCCCCAGGTTAAAGTCCCACAAATGACCCAAAAAAAGGGGAATATGGGAAGTTAAGGATATAGATATGTTTTCTTCATACATTTTTCTTTCTTTTCTTTTTCTTTTTGTGTTTGTGTTGGTTGTGGGGCTTGAACTCAGGTCCTGGGCATTATCCCTGAACTTTTTTACTCAAGGCTAGAAGTCTACCACTTTGAGCCACAGTGCCACTTCCAGTTTTTTGAGTGGTTAATTGGAGGTAAAAGTCTCATGGGGACTTTTCTGCCCAGGCTAGCTTTGAACTATCATCCTCAGGAGATCTCAGCCTCCTGAGTAGCTAGGATTATAGGCATGAGCCATGGGTACCTGGCTCCTGGCTCCATAAGACTTTTCTCCAAAAGACTGAAAGTGGAGTTGTGGCTCTAGTGGTAGGTTGCTAGCCTTAAGCAAGAAAGCTCCAAGACAGAATTTAGGCCCTGAGTTTAAGCCCCAGAGCTGGCACCCCCCCACTCCAAAAAAAAAAGACTTGCACTATATTTAGTGAAGCTCATTTCAGAATTAAATTGGGTCCTAGTTTTACATGACTATTTTTCTTTGAGTATAACATTTAAAGCTTTACTGTACTTGTCTTTATTATTCAGGTCCAGAATTCCATTTTCCTTTAAGTTGATTTCAAGTAGACAGACTACATATGTATTTAACACACATGCCAGTTTGTCCTTTTTAAAGTGACTCAATGTGTCAGCGTTGACAGTTATGTAAATGTTCTACATTAAAGCAGGTTAGATGCTATCGCCACTTACTGACTTGCTAGGCCAATTTGTATCATTTTAAATGTAACGCTAATCCTTAAAAAAAAATGTCTTATTATCTGCACATGGCTGTTGTTGTAAGATGTTGAATGCATCAGGCCCCATAGTAACCAACAGAAGTGGTTCCACGTGCTGGTTCTTGTAAGCTATTAGAAAAGTCATTGTGTATAACTCTCTTGACTTGGTGCAGCATGTCAGTTTTGAAAAGCCACGTGCAAGTGAGAGATTGGGAGATTGGAACTAACGTAGAAAGCCAGGAGTAGCAAAATATTAAAAAATTATTCTCTGATGGCCTCAATGATAACACTTTTAACAGTATAAAAGCTTTGAATCCCCCTCTTTTTTTCAAAAACAGACTGTGAAGACTGCAGAAAGAGGTTTGTAATCCGGTCGAATAAGCATAATAAAGAAATATTAGTCCTCATGGAAGAAGAGCAAGATTTACCAGAGCAACCAGTAAGTACTTTCTTTAACAATTTTAAGTTGATTGTAGAAAGGCTAACCTGAAGACAACTATTATTGAATAAGACTTAGAAGTACCAAATTAGAAATGAAAATAAGGAAAATGTTCCTTTAATAGTTTCTCTTTACAACAACATTGTTTCATGTTGTTTTGTGACAGAATTGTTTATGTAGTTCTGACTGGCCTTGAACTCTAAATTCTCCTGCCTCAGCCTCCCCATTGTTGGGATTACATTACAGGTGCACGTTGCATGTTCTTAAACTCCTATTTAACTAACTTAATGCTAAGGAGTCTGTTTTTAAAAATTTGCAGTATGAAGTGACTATTGAAATCTGGAAATGGCATTTAAAAAAATTAGTGGCTAGTTACAGTTTTTAGAGAATAAAGCAGGACATTTGTTTACTAGATGTATATAACCATTTCTACTAGAAAAATGTTTTATTTTTAATCTAAGATTTTCTAATTGCTTTCAGTTTCTAAAGAGTAATAGTATTGATTTAACGTGGGCAAGTAAGGGGTTGGTATAGAAGAGTTGGGTAAAGAAAGTTGCAGATTATAAATTTTTTTTTAACTGTATTTTTTTTGTCTTTTCTTTTTTGGTACTGGGGATCGAACCCAGGACGTTGCACTTGCTAGGCAAGCGCTTTGCCACTGAGCTACATCCCAGCCCTATAAATTTTTTTAAATGTCTTGTTATGCTAGTGTTGAGGCTTGAACTTAGTACTGGGCTTGCTTGCTTACTCATGGCTGTTCTACCATTTGAATTTTGCCCTCAGCTCAGCTTTTTGCTAGTTAATCAGAGATTAATCAATGAGCTTTTTTTTTTTTTTTTTCCTTGGTTGGCTTTGAGCTGCCCTCAGGGGTAACAATGCTTGATAAGAAATGTACTCATTACCTTACCCATGTAACTGTAACCCCCTCTGTATGGTATCTTTACAATAAAAAAAAAAAAAGGAAAAAGAAAAAAAAAAGGCCTAGGTAAAGAGAGAAAAAAATTAAAAGATAATTTTATTGTGTTTTCTTTTTTCTTTTTGTCAGTTGTGGGGGCCTGAACTCGGCCTGGGCACTGTCCCTGCGCTCTTCAGCTCAAGGCTAGTCCTCTACCACTTGAGCCACAGTACCACTTCCAGTTTTCTGGTGGTTTATTGGAGATAAGAGTCTCACAGACTTTCTTTCCTATTCTGGCTGTCTTTGAACCTCGATTCTCAGATCTCAGCCTCCTTAGTAATAGGATTACAGGTGTGAGCCACTGGTGCCCGGCTAATTTTATTGTTATTATTAAGGTGTTGTATGGAGGGTTTGCCCTTTTGTAAGTCAGGTAATGAGTACATTTCTTTTTTTGACAGTGTTACCCCTTCCTTTGCTTTCCTCCAATTTTCCCCTCCCATCCCTGCCTAAAATTTACATAGTTCATTTCCCACACAGTGTATACAGAATAACATGATTGCATTTGAAGATAGCAAGAAGAAATTAGGTGCCAGAAACTACCAACTAGTGCTAGTTATTGATTGATGGCTACATTTTAAGATTATTGAAAAGTCCTTTTTGTATACTTAGGAAAAAATGTCTGTTAATTGATGGATGCCAGCATCTATTAATTGATGGTTAAAAGTTTTAAGATATAATTGGTTAAAGTGTCTGTGGTACTGGAAAGCTGGAAAAATTGTTAAGTAGCAAGAACTAATGTTACCTCTTCAGTGACTCTCACTAAGTAAGTTGCAGTCCCTCTCAACAGGTAAGACTCTTTATCACTGAGCAGCATCCTAAGCCTCTGGGTATTTCTTATTCTTGCTCCAGTCTGCTCTTCATATTCTTTTAACATAGAGGCTGTGCAGTCAGAAGGCAGAGGGAAGATTCCTGACTTATAGAGACCATTTTTGCATTTTTTGGAAGGTCACTTATGAGAATATAAATGAAGGCTTGTTAGTGTTACTTGCTAGGAGTGCCTCTGCCTGCCAAATCTAGGCACTAACCATTTGATCTTCTGTCCTTGTGATGTGCTGTAACTAAAGTATGCAGTTTGGAGACTGAGGGCATGACTCGAGTGGTAAAATGCCAGCCTGGGAAGCTCTAGGCTGAATTCAAACTCAGCTACCACAGTGAGGGGTGGGGAGTGCATGCTGTTTATATCCTGTATATATAAGGAATAAAATCAAAGTAATAGCCTTCAATCAATATGGAGTATTTTGTGTATGTGTGTGGATTTTTGTTGTTGTTTGGCATTCTGTTCTATTTTGTTTTGTTGCTGCTAGGGGTTGAACCCTGGCTCCTGTTCATCCTAGGCAAGTGCCCTACCACTTGGGCTGTGCCACAAATATGTTCCTCTTTTTTTTTTTTAGTACTGCCATTTGAACTTAAGGCCTCAAACTGGCTAGGCAGGCCCGTCAGCCATGCCCCTTCCTCTCCCCCCTGTTTTTATTTGGTTTGTAAGACTAGCTCTCAATTTTGCCAGGCTACCCTGAATTTTTTGCTCCTCTTGCCTCAGTCTCCTAAGTGGCTAGAATTATAAAAATTCAATAACACATCAGGCCCAATGTCTCTTTAGCTGCACAAGTAATAAAGTACTTTGTGTATGTGTGTGCCAGTCCTGGTGCTTGTACTCATGGCCTAGGTGATGTCATGAGCTTTTTTGCTTGAGTCACTGCCCCACTTCCAGCTTTTTGGTGGTTAATTGGAGAGAAGAGTCTCACAATTGGCTGGGAAGGTGGCTCAGTGGTAGAGTGCTTGTCTTGTATGCAAGAGGCCCTGGATTCAATTCCTCAGCACCATATAAGCAGAAAAAGCTGGAAATGGTGCTGTGGCTCGAGTGATAGAGCACTAGCCTTGAGCTAAAGAGCTGAGGGACAGTGCCCAGGCCCAGAGTTCAGGCCCCACAACCAACAAAAAAAAAAAAAAGAAAGAAAGAAAAAAAGAAAGAGTCTCACAATTTACCTGCCCAGACTGGCTTCAAACCTTGATCCTCAGATCTTAGCTTACTGAGTAGCTAGGATTACAGGTGTGAGCCACCAGTGCTCGGCAGTAATAAAGTCTTAATAAAGTGTTCTAGGACGTAAGTACTTCCTATGAACAGCCAAAATCAAAATGATTAAGTAGATAATATCTTGGCTTGTTATCAGATTTTCAGTGAGTAGAAATATATATATGACTATACGCATATTGCATTATATGTGCATCTGTTTTTGTATTTCATGGACACTTAAATTTCTCCCCCCAGTTCCTGGAAAGAAGGAAATCATGTCATCTATATGCAAATAGTGAAACTGGAGATTGTCATAAGTGAAATAAATCACATTTGGAAAGATAAATACTCTTATTTCATATGTGAAATCTAGATTAAAAGAAAAAAAAATACATGAAAGTAGAAGAGAGACTATTTAGAAAGAGTAAAGAGACCAATGGGAGGGGACAAAGAAGGTATTGGAAGTGAATATGATCAAAGGTGAAGATGTCATAATGAAACCAATCACTTTGTATGCTATAAACTAGAAAGAGTGTTTTAGTGCTTTTGCAAAACGAAAGGATGAGATGGGTGTAGCTGTCTTAACTGCTCAGGAGGCTGAGATATGAGGGATCACAGTTCAAAGCCAGCCCAGGCAGGAAAGTGCATGAAACTCTTATTCTAGTTAACTAACCAAAAAGCTGTAGCTGTGGATCAAGTGTTGGAGCACTAGCTTAGGAAGGGAAGGAGGTAGGGAAGGAGGGAGAGAGGGAGGAAAGGAGGAAAAGAAAGTTATCCTTTTTTTTTTTTTTGGTCGGTCTTAGGGCTTGAACTCTGGGCTTGGGCGCTGTCCCTGTGCTCTTCAGCTCAAGGCTAGCGCTCTACGGCTTGAGCCACAGCACCACTTCCGGTTTTCTAGTGGTTTATTGGAGATAAGCGTCTCAGGGACTTTCCTGTCTGGGCTGGATTTGAACCTCGATCCTCAGATCTCAGCCTCCTGAGTATCTAGAATTACAGGCGTGAGCCACCAGCGCCCGGCTTAGTTATCCGTATTTGTTAGTATGCATTAGTATGTTTTAGTCAGCCCTCTGTATCTGTGGTCCTTATCTGCAGATTTATTTATCTGTAGGCCAAAGATATTGGGCAAAAGATTTGCATTGCTATTAAACATGTACAGATCTTTTCCTTCTCATATTCCCTGAACAATGCAGTATAATAAATTCCATACATTTACATTGTATGACAAATTATAAGGAAGCTAGAGATGATTTCAAGTGTATAGAAAGATGTATAAGGCTATGTGTAAATATGGTATCATTTTATATAACATCCACAGACTTTGTTATGGGTGAGGGCTCCTGAACCCAATCTCCCACATATACTGAAGGCCAACTGCATTTGAGTAACTAGATTTTAAAGACAGGTTACTGCATTGGTTCCTTCATATTTTATGTTTGCAGGTAAAAAAGGCCAAGATGCAGGAACCAGGAGAACAACCATTAAGGTATGGAAAGTTGGATTTTTTTTAATGATGCATTTAACTTTTTTTTCTTGTGCTCATTCGTGTATAGGCATGATTTGAGTTGACTGCCCTCCTTTTGGTTCTTACCAACTAGTTATATATTTAGAAATTATTGTAGCTTATTTTCTTTCCAAATAGGATCACTTGTTTTAGAGCATGGGTCAAAGTAGTGGAGTACTTGCCTACCAAAATAGAATTGCCTGAGCCCAGGTGTTCAAGACCAGGCTAGGCAGGGCAATAGAGTGAATATAGCAATATGATGGAACACTATCTTCAAAAACTAAAATTTGAAAATTTCCTACAAGCCAGACACTGGTGGCTCATGCCTGTAATCCTAGCTACTCAGGAGGCTGAGATCTGAGGATCACAGTTCAAAGCCAGCCAGAGCAGGAAAGTCCGTGAGACTCATATCTCCAATAAACCACCAGAAAACTGGAAGTGGTGCCGTAGTTCAAGTGGTAGAGCGCTAGCCTTGAGCTGAAGAGCTGAGGGACAGCGCCCAGGCCCAGAGTTTAAGCCCCACGACGACGACCACCACCACCACCAAATTCCACCAAAATAGCTTTTTTTTTTTTTTTGCCAGTCCTGGAGTTTGAACTCAGGCCTAACCACTGTCCCTGAGCTTTTTTAGTTCAAGGCTAGCACTTGAGCCATATCACCACCACTTCCAGCTTTTTCTTTGTATTGAGGAATCGAACCCAGGGCTTGATGCATGCTAGGCAAGTGCTCTACTGCTAAGCCATGTTCCCAGTCTCCAAACTAGCTTTTCCTCAGAATACATGGGCTGATATTTTTTTCTCATGCATCCATTATTTGTTTAATGATATGTAATGAACTAATTTTATATATCAGGCACTGTACTATGTAGGGAAGATTGAATGGTAAAAATAAAAAAGGCTTCTTTTTTTTTTTTTTTTTCCCTGCTACTAGGGCTTGGATTCAGGGCCTAGGTGCCATCCATTAACCTTTTCATTTTTCATTCTACCACTTGAGCCCTATTTCCATTTCTGACTTTTTTTTCCCTTCCTGGGCTGGCTTTGACCTGCAGCTTTCAGATCCAAACCTCCTAAATAGCTAGGATTACAAGCATGAGCCTCTAATACCTTGTTCAAAAAATGCTAATTTCTTCAGTCAAACGTACAGCCCACCAAATAGTAAACATAAACTAAAACGTGGAAATGCAAAGAATTCTACATTTATTGCCTAATGGCATGTGGGACTCCTTAGTCATAAGCTCCACTCCTCTCCAGAAAGAGACAGTTTCTTTTTCTCATGTGCTCTACCTTCCTTGACACCATGTTCTTTTTAACCTTTCCATAGTTCTGGCCTCCTTTAAGGTGCTGCCAACTAAATAAGCTAGTAACTGCATCACATGTTAACTTTAAGAATGCTCCGCCAAGGGCTTGGAAGGTGGCTCAGTGGTAGAGTGCTTGCCTTACATGCATGAGGCCCTGGGTTTGATTCCTCAGCACCACATAAGCAGAAAAAGGCAGAATTGGCACTGTGGCTCAAGTGGTAGTGCACTAGCCTTGAGCTGAAGAGCTGAGGGACAGCGCCCAGGCCCAGAGTTCAGGCCCAACAACTGGGGGAGCGGAGAGGGGGAGAATGCTATACCAAGCTAGGTGCCAGTTGCCCTCACTTATAATCCTACTACTCAGGAGATTAAGATCTGAGGATCATGGTTCAAAGCTAGCCTGGACAAGAAAGTCCTTGAAATGCTTAGCTCTAATTAACCACCAAAAACCCAGAAGTAGATCTGTGAGTCAAGTGGTAGATCTCAAGCCTTGAGTAAAAACAACAACAAAAACTCAGAGACAGCCCTAGGCCCTAGGTTCTGGGCCCAGGACCAGCATGGGGGGGGGGGTGAGGGGAGGTAGAGTGGTGTAGCCCAGGGACAGTGTCCATGCCCTGAGTTCAAGCGTTAGGTCCGGAGCTTGCACACAGGAACACACACACACACACACACACACACACATGCTCTATATATGTCTCACACACTTCCAGTTGAATGATATGTCATGTTTTTCTATCTCCCCCTCATCCTTTCCTCAGAAAGGACTTCAGAAATCTGCCATCACTCCCTTGCAAGCATTCTTGATTTCTTCCTCCCTTTTCAAACTATGTCATACTTGCTTATTAGCTTTATATGCTTTTTATGTAATATCATTATCTTCATAGCAACTGTATGAAATAGGTTCTATATCCTCATTGACAAGTAAAGAAACAGGCAAGGTGAACTCCACAGACTTCTCTAGAGTTATAGAGGCTAGTTGGCAGGGTGGAATATTAACTAAGCCACCCTGGCTCTATAGTTGTGCTCTTAACCACTATGCTATTCTGGTAAGAAAATGGAGAGTGGGACGTAGGAAAAGAAAAAGGGAGAACATTATAAGGAATTTGAGTTGGATTGATTTCTGTTCTAGAATCTCAGTGGCATGGCCCCACTATTATAGTATCTAATATAAAGGCTTGAATTTGACATTGCTTACCTTTCAGAACTTATCTTAATTTCTGAAAGAAAGAAAGAAAAGGAAGGATGGAAGAAAGGAAGGAAGGAAGGAAGGGAAGAAGGAAGGAAGAGAAGGAAAGAAGAGAGGAATAAAGAAACAAAAGAACTAAGAGCTGAGGCTGTAGTAGCCCCATGGTAGAGTACTTGCCTAGCCCTCTGTGGGTCAATTTCTGGAGGGGGCGGGGGAAAAAAGCTTTCTCAATGCTAGGTATAAAAGACTTTTAAGTGCAAGAGAAGAGTAAATTGAACCATTATTAGGGTTCAGAACCCCTGCTTAGAAGCATCACATATATAATATTTTTTTGGGGGGGGAGGGTCCAGTCGTGGGGACTGAACTCTGGGCCTGGGCGCTGTCCCTCAGCTCTTCAGCTCAAGGCTAGCACTCTACCACTTGAGCCACAGCGCCACTTCCGGCTTTTTTTTCTTTTTGCTTATGTGGTGCTGAGGAATCGAACCCAGGACCTCAGGCATGCAAGGCAAGCGCTCTACCACTGAGCCATCTTCCCAGCCCCACATATATAATTTTTAAAAACTTTTTTAACAATTTTTATTGAGATTGATTACATAAATTTCACAAATTTCACAGAATTGTGGGATAGTGATACTTGAAGTCACACACACATTTTAACCTTTACAAGGCAAATTGTCATTATCATTGTCTTGTGAATTCTATGAGCTTTGACAATATAACTATTTCTTCTATATCCGGGGACACATACATTTCTTTCCTTTTGCTTAGTGTAAGCTGTTTCCTCTTTCTCTCTCATTCCCCCCTCCCATTGCTGCCCTTGAGTTGCTTAGTTCATTTTCATCCATATCCAGTGCAGCTGATGGGCCCTCTGTTGTATGTTTTACCGTTTCCCTCTGATTCTCTCTTGTATAACCTAGCAAAAAATGGGTTTGAGCTCAGCATTTTTTGTATTGCACAAGTCTATCCGGCACTAATGTGTTATTTTGCTTCTCCTAGTCAAGCAAGCAACACAGATGTCAATGATCAGAAACCAGAAACATCAAGCCTTGCTTCAAACCTTCCCATGTCAGAGGAAAGTAAGTATTGTATGCTGTGTGATGAAAGAGTTTTTCCTATGGCCAGGTGCTGTTCTTTTTGTGTTACTGGGATTCCGGAAGGTTACCTTTTATGTGTATGTGTATATGTGGTTTTGTATGTGTTCATATTTGTGCTCTTCTATAATAAGCTTTATTGACATAGCAGCTGAAGAAAAAATTCCGATGGAATTTGCTTATCCGAGAAGTCACACATGATGATTTTATTTTTGTTTCACAGTCAGATGTTCCAAAGGTAGTAATGCCTTACTCAAATTCAGAAAATCCCTGACTACTTCTCTGGAACACCTGATATTTTTCTGCCTTTCTAATAGAACAAAGTAATCCCATGTATCAGTTTTGGCCAAGAAAGAAAAGCATTCCCTTGAGCCCAAGATTGATATTGGGCCCTGAGGGAGATTAGCTCAGGAAATTAAATTTCCATATACCACTGCCACTCTCCTGTAAAACGCTATATTTATCCATTAAACAAAAAATTGATTTTAAGCTGGGTGCCAGTGGCTCATGCCTGTAATCCTAGCTACTCAGGAGGCTGAGATCTGAGGATGGAGGTTCAAAGCCAGCTGGGGCAGGAAAGCCCATGAGATTCTTATCTCCAATTAACCACCAGAAAACTAGAAGTGGCACTGTGGCTCACGTGGTAGAGTGCTTGCTATGAGCTGAAGAGCTGAGGGACAGAGCCCAGGCCCAGAGCTTAAGTCCCACAACTGACACCCCCCCCCAAAAAAAAAAAAAAATTTTTATTTTTTTTTTTTTTTTTTTTTTTGGTCGGTCATGGGGCCTGAACTCTGGGCCTGGGCACTGTCCCTGAGCTCTTCAGCTCAATGCTAGTGCTCGATCACTTGAGCCACAGTGCCATCTCCGGTTTTCTAGTGGTTTATGGAGGTAAGAGCCTCACAGACTTTCCTGCCTAGGCTGGGTTTGAACTGTGATCCTTAGATCTCCTGAGTAGCTAGGATTACAAGCGTGAGCCACTGGTACCTGGCTCACTTAGCATTTTTTAATCAAAGCTGATTCTGGGGCTTAAACTCAGAGACTGGGTGTTATCCTTTAGCTTTTTCATTCAAGTCTTATGCTCTCCCACTTGAGCAACAGTTCCACTTCTGGCTTTTTGGTGTTTAATTGGAGATAAGAGTCTCGTGGACTTGGCTTTGAACTTCAATCCTTAGATCTCAGCAACTTAATAACTAGGATTACATATGCAAGCCACCAGTGCCTGGCTTCACTTCTAACGCTTTTCTGGTTAGTTGAAGATAAGAATCCATTGGCCTCTGTACATCTTCTTTATAATAACAATTGAAATTTTTTAAAAAATCCATTGGATTTGTCTGCCTGGGCTGGTTTTAAACGTCAGTCCTCAGATCCTAAGCAGCTAGGATTATAGATACAAGCCTGCTTGGCTTATCACATACTTTAAAAGAATAAATAACAGATATGTCTTGGATTCCATATATTATTTCCTAAGGTGACTTTATTCTAGAGGTTCTCATGCTTTTTGCATAAGATACAAGAATTGTCTGACATGCTTGTTAGTAATGTAGAATTCTAGCCCAACTTTGGAGATTGTTGCTTAAGTACATCTTATATGGCTGGGGAATCTGCACTTTCTAGGAGCTATTAGGTAAGTCCTTAAACATACATGAGACTGTTCATAATTGGGAAACTGCTCTAATGAATGAAATGTGTCCTGTAATTCCTTGGTTATTCCATTCAACCTCAATAAAAACATCTATTCACTAAAGTCTTATAACTTTAAATACTTCAAGATGAAGAAGTAAGTTCAGTTTTCCCAACTCCCTCAAAATAATTTCTCTTCCTTTTCCTTCAAAAACCCTAGTTCCCTTGATATTTATGAGTATACCTTCCCTTCCTTTCTTTTCTACATTAGTTTTGTTTTTAGATCCTGTTTTCTTCTCCATCCATACTTACTACTATTTGTGATTTTAACATTCTCAGCCTATATTATCCAGTATTTTTATAAGTCATTGCCTTAAAAACTCCAGTAACAAGTACGTGTGTGTGTGTGGCGGGGGGTTTGGCCAGTCTGGGGCTTTGGCTCAAGGCTAGCACTCTACCACTTGAGCCACAGTGCTGCCTCCAACTTTTTCTGTTTGTGTGGTACTGAGGAATAAAACCCAGGATTTCAGGCGTGCTAGGCCTAAGCCACATTTCCAGCCCTACTTGTAAATATTTTTGTGTGCCAGTACTGGAAATTGGACTCAACACCTGGATGTTATCCCTTATTTTTTCCTCAAGGCTGGTGCTCTATTTGAGCCACAGCTGTACTTCTGGCTTTTTGGTGGTTAATTGGCAATAAGTTTGGGCTGGCTTTGAGCCTCGATCTACTCCGTCTACTTGGAAACATTTGAATTCATTGATGAGTTTGCCTGTTAATATTTCATACCACCTGTCATGGTGCTTCTGTATTGGTGCTTTCAGAAGCACTTACTAACCTTTCCTCACTTTAAGTACTTGCCAGCAGAAAAGGAACTAACACAAAGAATTTGAATGAATTTACCTTATACTCTGTGTGGACTTCAGATCTAATTATGATCACCAGTTGTCAAAATGAATGTAGATAAATGTGATCGTCAAGTTTCCAGTGATTATTTTTAAATACATCCAACAATGGCATTAAGTAAGATTTTTCTATAATAAAATCACCACTGTTGATGTGATACTCATGAGCATGAACTGGTCCTTCATCTGCCCTAGACCAGAGTTCCCCTTTTGAATCAGGCATTCTCTCAGGGAATCTACCTAAATAAAAGGTTAGTTGGAAGCTGGGCACCGATGGCTTACACCTGTAATCCTAGCTACTCAGAAGGCTGAGATCTAAGGAATCTGGTTCAGAGACAGCCTAGGCAGGAAAATCCATGAGACTCTTATTTCATGGATAAATGGTAGAGCACTAGCCTTGAGCTGAAAAGCTGAGGGACAGTGCCCAGGGCTAGAGTTCAAGCCTCATGATTGACAAAATAATAATAATAATAATTTTTAAAAAAAGTTCTGTCCTAGAGTCCCTATTTACAATAGGATGGCTGCAGTTATCTCTGTTGGACAAAGCATGGTATAAGCATGTCATAATGTAACTGTTTTTACAACATGGATTGAAATAGTGCCTAGTGAGTGAGATTTAGCTAGCTGACAAACTGGAGTTTACAATATTTACCCCTGCCATAATCATGAGGATCCAGCCTGTACAGCAGCTCTTCCCAGATAAAGTTCTTCCCAGATAAAGTTCTGAAGGGTAAAGAAGTTGGAGAAGTCATTTTACTTGATGGTTCGTCAGAACCTCACATCATTTTCACAAGTCTGTCTCTTGCCTTGCCAAATTTAAAGTCTTTATATTATAAAATAGAAAAAAAATAGTGTAGAAGCGTACTTGTACCTGTTCTGCCATTGATCATACACATGGTAGCAACAGTTTTTTAGTAAGACTAGGTATGCTCCCCAAATCTGTGTATGACCTTTCACTAGAACATAGTAAGCATCTAGAGTATGAAGAAGCAGAATGTGCTTTTCTGATCTTGCTTTCTTTCTAAGTTTGCTAGTAAACACACCTGAGAGCTTAGGTTGTTGCTTCATCTATAGTTCAGATCAGTGAAAAGAGAAGATAAAAATCACTTGTTACCACCTTTCAACTCTTTTCCATTTGCTCCCACCCACCATTCTTGCTTCTTTTACCATTTCCTGTAGTCTTTAACAAATCCATAAACATAAAGGTGAGGTGTTTTCTGCTACATAATCTTTTTTACTTTCTAGTATCCAAGCTGTTTTGTGTTATTTACTTTGAAAGACTATATAGTTAGATACATAATATTCCCATTTCATTTTTGACATGTTCTAACTTTTTTACTTGGTAATATTATCTTTCTTTCAGTTATGACATGCACCGATTACATCCCTCGCTCATCCAATGATTATACCTCACAAATGTATTCTGCAAAGTAAGTTGAATAATTATATCCTCTATTTTTCTCTAGGTTCATTACAAAAATATTTATTTTCACTTTTCTTTTTCTGTGTGTCCTTACTCCAATTTTTTTATTCCCTTTAAATATAGTTTATGTCATTCTTTTAACTATATATGGTTGCCTAGAACAGATCACTGTTACAAAGGTCATTTTAAATGCATAGGCAATGGAAATGCAAAATAGTGATCAATCCTATTATAGATGGGCCTCTGGTCATTCTCTTTCTCTTATCTTGACATACAAATAAATAAAAACAGCTCAAGCTGATCTCAGACTGAAATTTAGTCTATCCAGTGTTCAGTTTCTTTCTTTCTTTTTTTTTTGTCAGTTGTGGGGCCTGAGCACTGTTGCTGAGTTCTTTGCTCAAGGTTAGCACTCTTACCACTTTGAACCACAGCTCCACTTCTCATTTTTTGATAGTTAATTGTAAGTAAGAGTCTCACAGACTTTCCTGCCCAGGCTGGCTTTGAACTACAATCCTCAGATCTCAGCCTCCTCAGTAGCTAGGATTACAGACATGAGCCACTAGCCCCTGGCTGTATTCAGTTTCTTGTTAAAGGAATGTCCTCAAAGTAAAATTGGACTTAAAGGTAGACAGACTTGATAGGTTGAAGTCACAAAGGGATATGTTTAAGTCTTTCAGGGTAACATCAGCATTTAAGAGGTAGTTACCTCTGAGTCGGTTAGGTGCAGAACACTGTAATCCACATTTCTGATTGTGCATTAACAAAGAGTGAGCCCATCCACACACAGACACACACAGGTGCATTCATTAGGCCAGGATATATTCTTAGGTACTTGCAAATGGAAGAGACATAAAGAAATTGGTGAGAGATACGTATAAGGCTGTTATATAAAATACACTGGCGGGCTGGGAAGGTGGCTCAGTGGTAGAGCACTTGCCTTGCATGCCTGAGGCCCTGGGTTCAATTCCTCAGCACCACATAAGCAAAAATAAAATACACTGGCATGTTTTCTCTTTTAGTGCCCATTTATGCCTTTTGAATTTGCATTACTTAAAAAAATAAACTAATCAAGAAGTCAACACAATGAATTTTTCAAGTTCTGATGTTAACCTTGTGCCATTCTGTGTAATTTTCTTTTATGAAGTGTCTGACCTTATTATCTGGTAAGATTCTTTTTTTTTTTTTTTGGATCCGGTCGTGGGGCCTGAACTCTGGGCCTGGACGCTGTCCCTCAGCTCTTCAGCTCAAGGCTAGCGCTCTACCACTTGAGCCACAGCACCACTTCTGGCTTTGTTCTTTTTTTGCTTATGTGGTGCTGAGGAATCGAACCCAGGGCCTCATGCATGCAAGGCAAGCGCTCTACCACTGAGCCACCTTCCCAGCCCCATGGGAAGATTCTTTTTTTTTTTTTAAACTTCATTCTGTTTTTATTTATTTATGTTTTTAATCATTAACTTTTTTTAATTTAATTTTATTTTATTTGTGAACATACTGTACAGAGGGGTTACAATTGCATGGGCAGGATAATGCATACATTTCTTACCAAGCATTGCAGCCTCCTCCTTTGTTTACCCTTCACATCACTTCCCAGCCCCCCCCCCCCCCCATGGGAAGATTCTTAGGTAGAAAGTGAAACGCATGAGAGCCCTGAGTGTTCTAAGCCATGTTGTGTCATTTAGTTTGAAAGGCTATTCAGTCAGGTACCCAGTTTTTCCCATTTCATTTTTGGAATGTTCTCACATTTTTGCCTAGTGATATTATCTATAAAGGTATATGGAAAAGAAGATAATAGTCTTTAGCATATCTGGATATTGGGCCATCTGAGGTCACTACTAGTTCAAATTACTCTTTTTGTTTGTTGGTCATGGGGCTTGAACTCAGGACCTAGTAGGCACTGGCCCTGAGCTTTTTCGCTGAAGGCTAGCACTCTACCATTTTGACCCAAGTGCCTCTTCCAGTTTTCTGGTGGTTAACTGGAGATACGAGTCTCATGGAGCCGGGTGCCCGTGGCTCACGCCTGTAATCCTAACTAAGCAGGAGGCTGAGATTTGAGGATCTCGGTTCAAAGCCCACCCGGGCAGGAAAGACCATGAGACTCCTATCTCCAATAAACCACCAGAAAATCGGAAGTGGCACTGTAGCTCAAGTGGTAGCGTGTTCTCCTTGAGCTGAAGAGCTGAGGGACAGCAGTCAGGCCCAGAGATCAAGCCCCATGACCAAAAAAAGTCTCATGGATCTTCCTGCCCTGGCTGGCTTCAAACCATGATTCTCAGATCTCAGCCTCCTGAGTAGCTAGGATTACAGGCATGAGCTAGCAGCATCCTTCTTTAGTTCAAATTATTTATTTTGGCCATTCCTGGGGCTGGAACTCAGGGTCTGGGCACTGTCCCTGAGCTTCTTTTTTTTTTTTGGGGGGGGGTCCGTTCATGGGGCCTGAACTCTGGGCCTGGGCGCTGTCCCTCAGCTCTAGGTTAGTGCTCTACCACTTGAACCACAGTACCACTTCTGGCTTTTTTCTTTTGCTTATGTGGTGCTGAGGAAGCAAACCCAGGGCCTCATGCATGCAAGGCAAACGCTCCCCCACTGAGCCACCTTCCCAGCTCCCTGAGCTTCTTTTGCTCAAGGCTAATACTTTACTACACAGTACCACTTCCAACTTTTTTTGTTTATGTGATATTGGGGAATTGAACCCAGGGCAAGCACTCTACCACTAAGCCACATTCCCAGCCCCTCAAATTATTCTTGTATGGCTTGCATAACAACTATAACCTGAACTATTTCCTCAGATATGGCTAATACAACCTCTGAGAATCTACTGAGATGTGAATATGTTACATATTCCAAATTTGTTTATAGTATATTTGCATACCTGGTACATTTAAGACACTTAATTATACATTCTCTCTTAATTCAAACCCCATTACCACTTTGCATTATAATTATAGAACCATTGAATTATAATGATTTTTTTTTTTTTTGGTCTGAACTCTTGGCCTAGGCGCTGTTCCTGAGCTCTTCAGCTCAAGGTGAGAGCTCTACCACTTGAGCTACAGCACCACGCTGGTTTTCTGGTCGTTAATTGGAGATAAGAGTCTCACGGACTTTCCTGCTCAGGCTGGCTTTGAACCGTGATCCTCAGATCTCAGCCTCCTAAGTAGCTAGGATTACAGGCGTGAGCCACCACCTCCTGGCTTGAATTATAATAGTTTTTTAACTCAGCCTTCATTTCAATTTCACCCCCTTAAAATCCAAGTAAGTGAGCAATATCACATTAATCTTTATTAAGAATAGCTCTATTCTTTGGTCAGCAATTTCATTGCCCCCCAGTTGTTTCCCATTTGTCTGAACTGTTTCAGACAGTGCTTCTACCTCAGCTTGCTGCTTCCCTTCTTTTTAATACACCACTTGATATGATGTTTGCTTCTTGGAGTCTGAAGCCCTTTTTCTGTACTTTTTCCAAGGCTTTTTTCTTGTTTTAGAACTTCCTTTTCTCTCCTATTTAAGTCCTTCCTATCCACTCAGTATTGTGCCTTTATTGTTCTCATTGCGCAAGATTGGAAAATAAAAACAACCTTTTCCCATGGTAAAACGCAACCCTCTATATTTTATTAGAATTTTTTTTTCTTTTGTCACGGCACCACTTTGAGCTTTTTCTGTGTATATGCTACTAAGGAATCAAACCCAGGGCTTCATGCATGTCAGGCCAGCACTCTACCACTAAGCCACATTCTAGTCCTTTATTAGGATTTTTATAGTACTTATAGTACCCTCTTTTTATTTTTGGTGCCATTATCTCATAATATACCAAATAAAATAACTGGCATATAAACATTCAGTGCAGTAAATGGACAAAACAATCAAGTTAGCTACTGTAGAGTTCCAGGGCTTCACTGCTAAATTCTAGACCTTACCTGTCTCTGAGGTGGCTGATAGTATCCTCAGACTTATTTGTTGGTTAACCTGTCTCAATTTGAAGATCTTGAGACCCACCTTACCTCTGTTTTCTAGTGAGTTTGCTGCTGGCCTTTTCTCCACCAAATTCACCCTCTTTTCCAAATCCTGATGTTGAGTTAAGGGGCCCAGGAACCGGGGTGAAGGATGAGAGCCAATTGCCAAGCTTGTTCCAACCTGTTTTCTGTTACTTTAGCATTTTATTCTATATGTGGACGTAGGACACAAATAAAATATAATAATTTATTTTATTTTGTTTTTTGTTGTGGGTCTCGAACTCTGGCTCTGCGCCTGGGCACTGTCCCTGAGCTCTTCAGCTCAAGGCAAGCACTCTACCACTTGAGCCACAGGCACTACTTCTGGTTTTCTGGTGATTAATTGGAGATAAGAGTCCCATGGACTTCCCTGCCAGGCTGGCTTTGAACTGCGATCCTCAGATCTCAGCCTCCTGAGCAGTTAGGATTACAGGTGTGAGCCACCAGTGCCCAGCATAAGTGTAATAATTTTTGGCTCCTATAGTACCTTGCATATAGCCCATCACAGATGCTTGTAGGTCAGTTAATGGAGGATGTTTAAGAATATTACATTCTCCCTAAAATTATTCTTTAGTTGGATGACAGTAGGACCTGGTCGGGAACAAAGTGTGGTACTTCCTGCCCTTGAGTTGAGTGAGGGTTTATTTTGGTGGCATGAGCTACTTCACTGTTTTTTTCACTATTAAGATGCATGAAAATTTTTGTTTTCTTGAATTTTTCCAGAACTTATGCACATATCCTCTCAGTTCCTGTTTCGGAAACAGCTTACCCTGGGCAGACTCAATACCAGACTCTACAGCAGTCTCAACCCTACACTGTCTACCCTCAGGCGACACAAACATATGGACTACCTCCTTTTGGTAAGGAATTCTACCTTGAGCAATTTTTAAGAATGTTGGTTTTATCCTCTGGAAACTTTTCTTTCCCCAGAAAGCAACCATGGCTGATAAGGATGTGTCACCCTTCACAGAGTAACTGAGTGGTTACTAGGTGTGGGAATTTGGTACGTATCTTCCCAGCTGTGTCTTTGGTGTGTGTGATACAAAATCAGAGTTTTTCAGTACTCATTGTTCACCCACCAAAATTTAGCTATTCCAAGGTCTTAACTTTGAAGCTTGGTATATCTGAGTGTCTGGTAAAAAAAAAAACTTTGATTTTTGACTTGACTTACTTTGCATATGACCTGGTATTATGGTCAGGTAAGCATAAAAAATATAACTGAAAGTGACCAATTTCTGCAAAAACGAAGTCTTTTAAATGTCCAGATTAAAATGCCTCATAGTTTACTCCATGTTTTTTTGGGGAGGTTAGTTCTTTGTTTTGATTGATTTTTTTCCCCTCTTCCCTCCCTCCTCTTACACCCCAAATTGAACAAATATAAGCTTAACCTATAAACTTACCATATGAATAGGGAGTTCTTTTCATTCATTCAGTCATCTCATTCATTCTTTTTATTCCTTTTTAAATATAGGAACTGTAAAATCAGTGAGTTACTGGAAGTTAGTTTGAGATTCTCTGGAAATTGACTATCTTTGCTAATGTTTATATAAGTGTGTAAGTTGAGAATACATGCCACCTACTTTATTGCCCTTCTCTGTTCTCCTAGAACTAGTATCAGAAAATTGAGAGGATATTATTTTAAAATATACAATATATTAATAACATTTTATAGATTTTGTTTAAGCAAGTTAGGAATTAGAAAACTTTTCCAGAGAAATTACATAGATTGTGGATGTGTGAGTATTGCCTGCTTTTGATTTCTACATTTCTGCTTTTTCTGACCCTCTTGGCTAGTACTTTAATAATGTTAGTGATGGCTTTCTTGCTCTTAGGTTTGTAAGTATTCTTTGATTCCTGATTGCTGTCAAAAACAAAAATTGAGGATTCTCACCCACCTCTAATGCTGGGTGAACTGGAGATGGATCTTGGGGACTTATTATGTCTGGACTCAGTTTATAGAATACCTAACATAATATCTCAATATCTAAGTATTTTGATGGCTTTTATGATTATTCCTTTGTATTAAAAAGGAAAGGAGGGGCTGGGAAGGTGGCTCAGTGGTAGAGTGCTTGCCTTGCATGCCTTGTTACATTTTAAGAATTTTTTTTTCCAGTCCTGGGGCTTGAACTCAGGGCCTGGGCATTGTCCTTGAGCTGCTTTTGCTCAAGGCTAGTGCTCTACCACTTGAGCAATGGCACCACTTCCGGCTTTTTCTGCTTATGTGGTACTGAGGAATTGAACCCAGGGCCTCATGCATGCAAGGCAAGCACTCTACCACTGAGCCAACTTCCCAGCCCAAGAAAAATTTCTTTACATGTCGATTTTTTTTTGTGTGTGTGTGATATGTTCATTTAGATGTATAAAAAACCATTTCTTGAGCCGGGTGCTGGTGGCTCACCCCTGTAATCCTAACTACCTAGGAGGCTGAGATCTGAGGATCACAGTTCAAAGCCAGCCTGGGCAGGAAAGTCCGTGAGACTTTTATCTCCAATAAAAACCACCAGAAAACTGGAAGTGGTGCTATGGCTCAAGTGGTAGAGCGCTAGCCTTGAGCTGAAGAGCTCAGGGACAGTGCCCAGGCCCAGAGTTCAAGCCCCATGATTGACCAAAAAAAAAACATTTCTTTGAACTCATAGCATTGTACTTGCCAGGGAGTTGCTCATCCCACTTGAGTTATATCCCCAACCCTCCTTTTTTATTTCCAGTCCTGAGACTTGAACTCAGGGCTGGTGCTCTACCACTTCTGACTTTGGTGGGTAATTGGAAGAGTCTCATGGACTTACCTGTCAGGCCTATGTTTGAACTACCATCGTCAGATCTCAGCACGAGTAGTGAAGATTACAGGTGTGAGTTACCAGCACTTAAGTCTTCTTTTTGAAATCAAGAATTTAGTACATTTTGTTATCTTAGTGCAGTCTACTTTCAGATTAGTCTGTTATTTCAGATATATATATATAATTAGGGCTTTGAGAAAATCTCATAACTTTTTGAAGCAAGTGCACTAGTTTTTTTTTTTTTTTTTGTCGGTCGTGGGGCTTGAACTCTGGGCCT